GTTATATGGATCAAATCAGAAAGCATTAGTAGGATGCTTTATAAAACTTATATAATTATGTAAATGCTAGCTATTGATATAATACTAATATATATTAATATCACATATTATGACATTACATTTATTGGATTGTATTGTTTGAGTCAGCATGAGATATGTAGATATTAGAGTCAAGAAGAGACCTGGGGGGCAGCTAGGTGGCACAGTGGATAGAGCACTCGCTGGATTCAGGAGGACCTGAGTTCAAATCTGGCCTCAGACACATAACACTTACTAGCTGTGTGACCTTGGGCAAGTCACATAAGCCCATTGCCTAGCCAAAAAAAAAAAAAAGAGAGAGAGAGAGACCTGGGTTGCCTCTGAAAAATAGTGACTGTGTGATTCTGGACAAATCACCTCTCAGAGCTCTAGGCAATTTTCCAAAACAGGAAGGTGATGACCTGCTATGGTAGAGAGAGGTTCCTTACCTGGGAGTTCCCCATACCAATGAAATCAGAGGCCCACCCCCTGTCCCTTATATGATAATGCATTATAGCTTTTTGTATTGGTCTCTCACCTCTTTGACTGTAAATTCCATGAGGGCAAGGACTATGTCTTACCTACGTTTCGTATCTTCTCCAGCACATAGCACAGTCCTATATATGCGCACAGTATAATAAATGTTGAATTTATCATTGAAACCTATATCCTTGACAGAGAGGATTGTATGTTGGCTTAAGAAAGAGAATGATTGCTTAATGAGGAATGTTTCGAAACAACCACTCAAAAAGCAAAGACAAGTCTGGATGGGAAAGGGGGTGTATGCGTGCATTTCTTTCCCAAAGATAAAAGAACACAAGATTCAAACCAACTTTTCTCTGTCCTCTAATGGAACGGCCTTAGTGTCGGTCTTAGTTAAAAATCTCAGAAGTGATGATACGTCTCACTGTAAATTCAATTAGGAGATAGCTTAACATCTGGTAATCATCCCAAACCAGATGATGGTAGCTCATTTTCTTCAGGGCTTACAATCAATATTTGTACTATTCAAGCCCTCTGATAATACTTCCTCCTGCCCTGCTTTGGGCTGCATTTCCTGACGCCTGTAATGCAGTGCTGTCATTAAGTTGTAGACAGAAGCACCTGCCAGCTATTGGGCTTGTCAATTGCTGTTTATTCCCCATGTCTGAGGCCACTTTGCATTAGGAAATCCTGCTTTCTGGATCCAATTAGTTGCAAAGACAGTATTGAACAGGAGCAGTTTAAGTGAGGTGGAAGAAGTGAAAGCTCCGGAATGCATCAATGCATTCAAAGAAATATCTGATTTTCCTTTATATGCTTCTGTATCTAGTAATTATGTGCAATGGTCCTTTCCAAGGCGATCCTTCGAAACTCTTCCACTTCCCTGCTGAGTTTTTAGGACTTTAGCCAGACAGCTAGAAAGATAAGACCTTAAAAACCCTTTATTTATAATGAACTAGGTCTACCATCACATCCAGGTAGAAGTGTCAAAGGGGACCCACCCCAGTGTGCCAGAACGAGATTAAACTGTAGTTGGGAAATACTTAACAAAATAAATAAAAATACAGTAATGTGTCAGTAATGTTCATATGTGATTTTCAAAGTTAATACATGCCTGCAGGAATCTTTATGTACAGTTTCATGACCTCTACTTCTATATGAGTTTGACGTCCCTGGTGTAGTGAAAAGAAAACAGAATTTACAGTTAGAAAATCTAGGTGTTAGTCCCAGATCTGGCACTTACTAGCTGTGGGCCTGTGTACACATCACTTTACATGAGATAATGTGCATAATGTACATGAAACTCTCTGCAAGTGCTACACAAATGTCAGTTATTATGATTGTTATTATCATTGTTATTATCCTTTGAGGCTCAGTTTCCCTAACCATAAAACAGTGATAAAAATAGTTAAAATTCTTATCTCACAAGGTTACTTTGAGAAAAGCACTGTGTAAAGTGCTAGATAAATTGAGATAATGTTATTTATTGTTGTTATTTAAATTCTGGTCTAGGGTAGCTAGGTGGTGCAGTGGATAGAGTACCAGGCCTAGAATCAGGAAGATCAGAGTTCCAATTTGGCCTCAGACACTTACTGCGTGACCTTGGACAAGTCACTTGACTGCTATTTGCCTCAGGTTCATCTGTAAAATGGGGACAAACTGGAGAAGGAAACGACAAACCACTCTAGTGTCTTTGCCAAAAATAGCCCCATGGATAATGTCCATAGGATGACATAGAGTCAGACATGACTGAATGACTGAAAAGCAACAGAAAGACCAGGTGTGGGCTGCCTTTGTTAACTTCACCCCACCCCATCCCTTTACATTATGCTTGTACAGCCCAGTCAATTTAGTACTTTCCTATCCATTATTTCCTTTGATTCTCATAACGACCCTATCATGTAGGCAGAGCAGAGATTACCCTAATCCAATGAATGAATGAATGAATGAATGAATGAATGAATGAATGAATGAATGAATGAATGAATTTATTAAGCACGTACTATCTACCAGTCACTAAGCTGGAAACACAAATAGACAAGCAAGACAGTCCTATTGTAATAAGAGGAAACAACTTTTGTAGGGAGTGAGTGGTGACCAGGGAGGAGAGATCTGGTCTAGGAAATCTAACAATGTTAAGTGAAGTAAGAGCCTTGGCATCCTTTCCAAATCAGGGGAATGATGATTTGATAATAGTTCCCACAACAAAAAGTGGAAAAAGGAGGTGACAAGAGGGCACAGGATAGAAGATGGTCTGGGGGGAGAAGACTGATAGGGACTGTGGCCTGCTAGAGACAGAGGGCTTTCACCAATCTGAACAGCACTCCTTCAGAACTCAAGTTCTGGAGACAGCAGCAGCATAGATGGCATTGGGGAGGCTAAGCTAAAGATGGCTGGGGTGAAATATTTATATGTGGTACCTATTCATCACAAGATATTGTCCTAGGCCCTGATGATACAAAATGACAAAATGAAATGGTCTCAGCAGCTAGGTGGTGCAGTGGATAGAGCACCTGGCCTGGAGTCAGGGAGACTTGAGTTCAAGTCTGGCCTCACACACTTACTAGTTGTGTGACCCTGGGCAAGTCACTTTACCTTATTTGCCTCAGTTTCCTCATCTATCAAATGAACTGGAGAAAGAAATGGCAAGCCACCCCATTATCTTTGCCAAGAAAACCCCAAATGGGGTGACGAAGAGGAGTCACTGAACAGTGACTGCTGTCAAGGAACCTACATCCTACTGAGAGGATACAACATAGGTTAAACAGTATCATAGATTTATAGTGGGAAGGGACCTCAGAGGCCTTCAAGTCCAGTCCCCTAATTTTACAGATGAGGAAACTGAAACACACAAATAAAAGTTCCAGGGTCACAGAGCTAGCAAATGTCTGAGGTGAGATTTGAACCCAAGTCTTCCTGATTCATCCACCATACCTGTGTCTCTCTATGTAAATAGCATATGAATAAGGAGGGTGTACTAACATGGAGCAGTATTAGCAAAGACTTCCTAATGGAAGCGCATGAGCTGACCGCTGCAGGAAGCCTGAGCCTCTCTTGTGCCCTTATCCCTTTCACCTTCATCATAATTATTATGTCCATATCTTGTCCTAGTTCGTGAGCTCTTTGAGATCAAAGGATGGTGTCTTATTTGTCCTTTCGTCTTCTCCAACTCATCCCCTCACAGTACCTAACACAAGGCTTCACTCATGTAGACACCAGTAAACAGATGTTAAATAAATCACTCATAGCTGTAACCTCTGGTCTGGATTTCAAGATTTGATTCACTTGGGAAACTAATTTTTGAAAATTTAAACTCAGTTTCTTCCAATATATTTTATGGAAAAAATGAGAACATTTACCACAAGCTCCCTTTTCTCTCCTCTTCCTCATATTCTATCACTCAGGTGCTTTCTGCTACTATCTCCTCCTTTAACCCTGTTCTACATGATGGAATGGCATTACTCCTTACCAAGACCAACCCATCTAGTAGTTCAAGTTATCCCATTCCATCCCATCTCCTCTACCAAATTGCTCCCTGTCATTCCCATATCTATCTATCTACACACACATGTATGTATGCATACACATATGTATGTATATATACACATGTGTGTATGTATACACACATATGTGTGTGTTCAATAGATATAAGTTTATATGTGCTTATGTGTAGATATATGTGTTTGCATATACGTATATATGTGTGTGCATAAAACTGAGAGATGGAGAGATTGAAGAATGGGTTTAGAAATAGTAAGGCTTAAAAAGAAATGGCATGTCTAAAGGACGTCCATATAACAATGCCCAGAAGGCAACTAAGTGATGTGGGAGTGAAGCTGAGGAAAAAGATTATTAAGAGTTACTTAGATTTGGGAGTCATCTGTGTAGAAATGCTCATTAAACCTATGAGAGCTGATGAGATCACCATAGAGAGAAGGATGCCCATGACAGCACTATAGTGGATATCCATACTAAGGTAATTGGGATGTTTGGGATAACGAAATTGGGTTTGAATCCGACCATCAAAAGGAAATCACAATGCTTCTCCTAAACTACTCTTGGCATATCTGCCAGAGACCATGCTGGAGGTTGAGACAGAATCTGGCCCAGCACGACAGGTCTTAGATTCTAATATTATTAAATCAGTCTAGTACCGATCTGCTATTCTGCCTTCCTGGGACAGCCTGTTGGCATACAAAGACTTCTCCCTGCCTTAGTCTCTAAAATAACAACTGTTGAGGTGAACTATAAGCATCCTTTGCTCATTGCCTGGGAAATTCCAAACTTGCAAATCTGGACTGCAGATCTGTTAAAAAAAAAAAAAGGAGCATGCATGTCCCTGGAAGTAGCACTAATGAAGGCCACCACATCTTCACACTTTTTATAACTCATGTCTTCAAGGTGATTGTGTTTTATGTGATGAAGAGGGGTAGGGGGAATGGTAAAGGACTCTCTTAGACTTTTTGTAAAACAAGTCTTCATGTCTCTTCTGTTTTTAGGTTATGGCAATATCTATCCCAGAACAAGACTTGGAAAAATTGTGTGTGTGCTGTATGCTCTCTTTGGGATACCTTTAATGTTCTTGGTTATGACAACTGTTGGTGACATCCTAGCATGGATCCTGTCTACGATTTACAGTAATTACAAAAATTGTCATATCCTTAATTTCATACTATCACAAACCAGAGGGCATAGAAATACAAACATGAACTCTGATCCTTCCAATCACGTCCTTCCTCATACTGAGGTAGAAAAGTCAGGCCATAACTTCAAAGTGCAAAAAGACAATAAAACAACTCGTAAACATCCAAAGGAACAGCAGAATATGGAACTGTTCGAAAAGATTGTGAGGAGAGAGAATGAAAACATGTTGTATGTCACTCCTCAAACACAAAGGAGCATTTCATGTCCTGAGCTGGGGGAGAATATAAAATTATATCACTCTAGTCACAAAAGCTTGAGAGATGTAGGAAAAATAGTTCATCACTTTGATATCCCCATTCTAATAATTGCCTGTATTGTGTTTGCCTACATCTCCTTAGGAGCAGCAATTCTACCATTTTGGGAAACTCGATTGGACTTTGTGACTGCATTTTATTTTTGTTTTATAACATTTACTACAATTGGGTTTGGGGATATTGAGTTGGACAATACCTCTCACTTTCTCTTGTGCTCCATATATGTTATTGTTGGCATGGAAATTGTCTTCATCACTTTCAAACTGCTCCAGGACAGATTGTTCCATGTTTACGAAACCATCGTAATATTTGTCACAAAATGGGAGGCTGACTAGCCAATAGAAAAGTGAAGGGGATGCTGGGGTTAATTTGCATAACTCTACAAGGAATTTAATATTCATTAAATCCCAGAGTTGGAAGGGACCTTAGAAATTATTGTCTTCATTGCTTTCAAACTGCGCCAGGACAGACTGTCCCATGCTTGCCAAACCATCATTGTCACAAAATGGGAAGTTCACTAGCTACTGGAAAAGGGAAGGTGTTGCTGGTTCGTTTGCATAAATCTATAAGGAATTTGGTATTCATTGAATCACAGAGTTGGAAGGAATTTTAGAAATTATCTAGACTCAACTCCTTGCCTAATGTAGTAATACTCCTCCATGGTACCTCAAGAAGTGACTATAATTTTTGCTTGAAACCTTCTTATAATGAGGGGCTAACTCCTTTGCAAGTAGTCAGCCCATTGTATTTCAGACAGTTGTTATTATGAGAAAGTACATATGGCTTCTGTATCCATACAGAATAAGTTATCTGTTCTTCAATATGACAGCCCTTTAAATACTTGAAGCCAATGATGCTATCTCCCTAAAATAATCTTCTTTTCAGCTAAGCCCCTCCCCTAATTACTTTAATTATCTATCCATCATATAGCAAGGTGGCAACTCCTTGATCCTTCAAGACTGTGGCATCCAGAGCTGAATACAATACACCAGTTTACATTTCACCTGGATCTGTGTTGATTCAGTGGTATTATAAAATGATATACCATGTCATAAAGAGCAGGTGGCATGTCCTGAACCAATATTTATTTGTGTCTTTGTGTGTCTCATAAATTGGGAAAACAACATGGTATGGTGGTGAGAGCACTCAAATTGGAGTCAGAATACCTGGATTCAAATCCCAGCTCTATTACTTTCTCCTCTGTATGGTGTTGGACAAGTCATTTCCCCTCCATGGTCTCTATTTCCTCATGTGTGAAAGGAGAGGGTTGGACTAAATGACCTGTAAAGTCACTCTCAGGTCTGAATCTATGATGTCATCATCCCTGGGTATCAGGATATATTAATGATTATGGACCCAAAAAAGCATTCTTTTCATTCTCCAACATTTAGTTGGTTTCCTCCTTTTAGAGATTGGATGTAGTACTCAGATGAAATTACCTTTACCCTTTTGCTTTTGGTATGGGAAAATATTTTCACTTTTAATTCTCTAGGAATATGTACTTTCATTTAAATTAAAATTCATATAAATAATTTTCTGTCTTTAAAAAAAAACGCAAGCAGTTATGGAAATTTCCTGTCTTGAATGACCTGCATAAATGCATATAATAAACCTGGTGGCATCCTATTATTTATACATTACCACTGATTTCACTGGGCAAAGCTATTATTTCCCAAATTAATGCAGCAAAATTTCACACATACCAATAGTCAAAGTATATATTATGGTATTGAGATAGGTTTCAACATTAAGGACAAATGCTATTCTTGAATGAAAATCAAGATAAAGCACTTTTTTTTACAATTAAATTTTTGAAAACATCTCCTGGTATGTTTTTTTCAGAAGGATGAGGAGAAATTGGCACTTTTTAAAGACACACTCCTTATATTATGAGACTAGTATAATGGTCATGAATACAATACTTCATATGGTATCATGCTTTAAAGAGCTCAAAAGTACATAGTCCCCAAATTCAGTAATGCAGCATAAGAAATGGGGGGCCAAAGACATGGACTTTCATTTTTCTGTTCTAACAGGTTGAGCCCAGATTGCAAAGCATTTTTTGCTTGCCTCTGAGATACTGCTTTGCAGACTTCATTTTTCTCCCAATTTGTTGCTGCATGCTACTTTCACTCATTTGCTTTGCTGTTTTTAAATAAATGTATATTATCAGAGAGGGGTTAGCTTACCCTTGTCTTTTTAGGTACTGAGTCCTGAGGGAATCTTTCTATGATTGAACTTTGCTACTATGAGTGAGGAGAAAAACTCTATGAACAACATCTATGTGTTTGGACAAACTAGCCAGTGCCTGGGTAAATATTGATCTTTTGTTCTGAGGTAAAGAATGACATGAATAAATGCCAACAAAAAATATCCAGTTTGGGAAAGAGAAAGCAATTGCCTCTCTATATTCTTTTTTTGCTGCTCCCTTTCTACTCTAGGCCTTATTAGTAAAATACATATATATATATATATATATATATATGTATATATATATGTATATATATATACACACACACACACACACACACACACACACACACACACACACACATACATATGTGTATGTGTGTATTATGGCTGTTACTTTAGTATTTAATATACTTGAAAGATCAATGATTTCATAGGTATGGGTTTTCCCTCCAACAATGTGGTTTGCCACCCTTATTTGACATAATAGATAGTCTTGAAATGTTGCTTCGACCAAAATAATTAATATATTGGTGATGAATCTCTCCAAAATTAGCTAAGCTGGTCCTTGGACACAGAGTCATAACTAGGAATCCTGGTACTCAGGACAAATTCACATGAGCAGCATCATGGCAAGTCTACTCAACAAATTTTATCCATGATTGACATTTACTAGAGAAAGAGTTCATGGAAGTTAAGGATACCACAGGGTTCAAAGAGGGCAGGGATTGGGGTGGAGAAGAAGATGGTAATACAGGTCCTTAGTATATCAAGAAGAGAAAGTGACTTGGATGTTCACTAATTACGGCAAGATGGATCTGAGCAGGAGAGAGTGAACCTTACTATCACTCTGCGGGGTGCTTCCTTCATTTGCTAATCTGTTGTTAGCCTGGGGGAGCAAAGCAAAGGAACTTAATTTTGTTCTATGACTACTAGAGCAGGGAAAATGGGGATGAGCTAAGACATAAAAATGATGTTGGAGTGGTAGTATATGTTGCTGCTTATTTTATGCTGATAAGGAGATTAGTTTAAAGATGGAGTCACTTGTGCCAATAGAGGATTTATATATGTGTGTGTGTGTGTGTGTGTGTGTGTGTGTGTATGACATATATATATACATAGAGAGAGAGAGATCTCTTTGCCTTCGCTCTCCATAGTTTCCTTATCCCCTCAATTCCATATCTCTCTTTGCCAACAAACACAATGAATTACCTCCGTCCTTCAAATCACTTTTACAGTGGTATCACACACTACCTTGAGTTATCATTGACTGTCTAGTAATGAGAATGGGTTGCCAAGGGAAACTGTGGTGGTTACTTTCCTGGAGGTCTTTAAAGCTAAGAGAGGTACTTTTATAGTGAGTGACACTATTTAAATCAGAGGTACATAACCTTTGTGTGTGTGTGTGTGTGTGTGTGTGTGTGTGTGTGCGCGCGCGCGCGTGTGTGTGGCAGACCCCTTTGGCCATCTGAAACAGACTTATCAAATATTTTTAAAAACAAGTTCATGGACCCTCATTTAAGAAACTTGATTTAAATTGAGTCCTACTTTGACTTAATGAATTCTAGAAGTCCTATATACCTCAGGAAGTCTAGCATTTTAAATCAAATAGTCTTCTTAATCATTACCAGACCTATACTTGAACCATTTCCAGGTTAACAGGGCCTGTCAGGTCTTGTCTTCTGCCAGTGAGGCCTTCAAGAGCCCAAGGTCACCTCTATACAATGATGAGACATTAAAGTAGGACTTGACTGTACCAGCTCAATGATAGACTATATATTTACCATTTGAGCACCAGTCTAGCAAAGTTCAAAGAGAATTACCACTGGGCTATGATTTTTTTTGTTATAATAACTCTCAAAGTCTATCCACTAAGTTGCACAGAAGCTGTGATCCAAGAATATGTAGGGAGTGAGCACACTAACGAAATTACACATCCTTGAAGTACTGAGATTTTGTCTTTGTATTCTCAACCCCCAGCACAGTGCTTGGCACACAATGGGGACATAATAAATGTTTGTTGAATGAATGAATTTCCCATTACTCATTGGCACAGCTGCAGTTTTCTGTTTTCTGTTCCTGCGTCCTAATGCCTTATTGATGAACACAACTTTAAGTATTTTGAAATAATGGAAAAGAAACAAGCACAGAATTAGATCAGGAGACTCTGATCAATCCTAAACCTGAATGAGAAAGCCCACTTTGTCCCACCCACCTTCCCACTCCCCTTTTCTCAAGATTTGCATGAGACTCAGTAAAGAGTCACCAGTTCCATTTTATGTGCTATGAGAACTAGTAACAGGAATAGTCAGACACTTCTCTGGATAGCTTTCTTTATTTCATATTGTAAGTGACCTACCATGTAAGGTGTGAACGTTTATATGAGTTGTCCAAATGTATAGACAGGTGACTTAAGGGGAGACAGTGATAGATATATCTAGAATCTTGCCTACCCTCCAAGGGAGACTGTGATTTCTGTACCTTGAGGGAAGCCATTTTATTATTGAGAGAGAGAGAGAGAGAGAGAGAGAGAGAGAGATCAGAAAAGAATTTTATCTATCTTCTCTTTTTTTTTTTCAGAGATGCTATTTTGTCTTTTTAAAAAAATTTTCCATGATTTATTTATTTGTTGAACTCCAAATTTTAACTAGTCCCATCTTATGGAACTCTACACAGAAAATGATAGTTTTCACTTTTCTTTTTTTTTACTTCTTTTTTTATTAATTTATTTTGATTGATCAACAATCACTTCCATATGCTTTTGAGTTTAAAATTTTTCTTCCCCTTCCTCCCCATCACCCTCCCCAAGACAGTGTACAGTCTGATATAGGCTATACATGTACATTCCTATTAAACATATTTTCACATTAGTGATGTTGTAAGTAAGAATTAGAACCAATATGAGGAATGACCAGAAAGAGGAATCAAAACTCAACAGAAGGGGGAAAAAATAGCAAATAGTATGCTTTAATCTGCATTCAAATTCCATAGTTCTTTCTTTGGATGTGGATAGCATTTTCCATCACAAGGCCTTTGGAGATGTCTTAGATCCTTGTATTGCTGGGAAGGGCTAAGTTTATCAATATTTGTCATCACAAAACGTGGCTGTTATTGTGCACAACTTTCTCCTGGTTCTGCTCACTTCACCCAGCATCAGACCATACAAGTCTTTCACAAGTCTTTCCAGGTTTTTCTGAAGTCAGCCTGTTCATTATTTCTAATAGCACA